CTTTACAGTATTTTTGAAAAATTTAAACACACACCACTTTATTAATCCTTGAATTTTCTGGTTCCCAAACATGCTATGAAAGCTAAAGCAGCTGTTAGTCCTTATAAAAGCAGTCAGAAGTTCTCAGCTCATCTATCAAGGGCCATATGAAGATGCAGAAATCTGGCCCCCATATGCTCCCTAAAGCCTCAACTTACTTGAATATGTGTGTGGTCCTGACGTTTGTATACCTTTCCCTCCCTGAGGAACAGAAGAGAAAATACTGACTAAAAAAAAATTATAATTAGCATAAGGTGACTTAAGAATATAACAATATTTTTACTTTGTTGAGTCATTTAATATTGAAGACAAATATTGTCTTCTTCTACATGTGCATGACACATACTGCCTCTGTCAAAAAAAGAACTTTTACTTTTCCAAGAAAAATCAAACTCTGATTTGCCTCATATCTGCCTTTTTAATATGTTTATTTGAAATTTTGATTACAGTGAGCTCTTGAACTGAGGTCCATTAAAAACCATTTAAGAAGATGCTACAAAATGTCCCAATATTAAAACCTCTAGATATTTGAATGGAACTTTAATATTAACCGTGGTGTTTCTGAAATATTGCTGTAATATTTCAGTAATGGGACAGAAGCTTCAAGGTCAAAGCGGCCTCACAAGGGAGAAGGAGAAAGAGAAAGCATTAGATCTGAAAAGCGCAGTTGTAGCTGCTCGAAGGAAACTTTTTTATTAAAGTAATGGACCAAAAGATACCATATAGCCTGTGAGATCCCAGAAAACACCATGTGGCAAGTGTACTTGGAGATGAAAAGTAAGTTTCCATTTTTGTCTCTTTTATATTTTAGCCCATGTAATACCTTGGTACCTTTTACTCTAAGAAATGTACATATTTAATAAATGACAACCTTTGCAAAAGATGTTTTACTACAGAAAGCCTGATTAATTTTAAATGAAAAATAGGACTCTGAGATCACTGAAAACAGCACCATAATGTGTGGCTTGCCTAGGGGACTGCAGTAGGAGCTGCGGGCTGCACAAGCAGTGCTGACACCGGGCACACTCTCCTGTCCTAACACAGCTCCTTTCCAAGTCTGTCCAGAATCGTGGTCCGCAGTAATCGCAGATGAGTTGGAGCCTAGAAGAGCTACGTAATCTGAGACAAGACTGAAATGCTGTTTTTCTTTTTCAAAATGAATTGAATGGAAGTGTTCAAATTACCCAAGGAATAACTTCAAAAGAAAATCATTATCAGTATGAACATGAGCTACATACCTTGATTATGATTGACACACAAAAGACCAGTGTGGTCAGTGCTTCCTCACTCCTACAAATGCTGCCTTGATTGGTTTTGTTTTCAGGGAAACCAAGATTCCTTCAATGAGAGACAAGGCCAAAAGCACTATATTCTGTCATATATATTCATTTTCACAACCAAGGCTTATTAGAACAATTATTTTTCACAGAATACAGTGGAATATTACAAATATCTAAGTGGATTTTGTTAATACAGTACTACACAAGCGTAGCATTTCTCCATCACATGAGTTTGACTGCAGACACCACTTCTCCTTCCTGGGTTGTTTAATTCAAAACAATTTAATTGATATTTCCTCTTGATAGTCTCTCTAGAGCACACAGTATGAATGACTATGCCACATACATTTCATGTCTTTTTTAGGATAAAATAGGGTTATATTCCAAAACATCTCATTGTTCATAGTGTATAATAAATGCAAATATAAGAGCAATTATTTTGCATATTTTTATTACACAGAAGTAGCTGGATTACTCACTTATAGTTTCAAAATTTGTAAAATAATTTGATTATTGCTATACTCTTTTGGAAGATCACATTTTACCACACTTATTCAGTAAAAACTTGTTGAACATTTATTTTGTCATCTTACACTTGGAATTCAGAAGTAAGTAATGCAAAATTCTACCTCAAAATATTCACAGTACTATTAGAACCACAACAGATCCCACTAAGAAAAATTTTATTATATGGAATGAATTGCAAAGAATACTTGGAAAACACCTTTTTTTATTTTTAGTTTTTTGGTGGAACCGGAGATTGAACTCAGGCCTTTGCGCTTGCCAGGCAAGTGCTTATTCTACTGAACCATCTCCCAGGCCCAATTGTTCTTTTTGTAAAACTATTTTTTTTAAATCATACTGATTGTCAAAGCATTTGAATTTTTCTGATACTTAAGCATAATTTACCAACAGGTATTGTTGGGAAATAATAATTACCAACAGGTATTGTTGTACCATTCTGGGAAAAGACAGTACCATTTTCTATTTGGTAAAAGTGAGATCACTGATTGAGTTAACAAAATCTCCACTTTCAACCACTTAATTTTGAGTGTACAATGATTTTAGTATAAAAAACAGTGACTTTGTTTTTATCTTTCAGCAATAATATTTTGGCAGACATGAATTGATAATATTATTTGTAAAAAATAGATTAATGCTTTACAAAAGTGAAAATCTTCCGATATTTTTGTTTTATTTTAAATAATGATTCTAATAAATATTTTTCTGGACAGTAGAAAAAAATTTTAATACTTGCAGTTAAGTCTCTTGTTCTCCTTGGAGTTTTCCACTGCCTATTGACATTTAATATATTTGTTGCTAATTTAGGGGACTGGGGAGATAGATCAGTGGAATAAGTGTTTGCCTGGCAAATGCAATGTCCTGAGATGATCCCTGGTACCACCAAGAAAAAAAGAAAGTTGTTAATTTAGTTCTTTGAAGGCTCTATTTAACTAATATTAAATATTGGTAAATTCTGAATTAATTTAGAAAAACTTTTTGTAAAAAAAGTAGAAGTGTTGTTTCATTTATTCTGCTTAAAATTGTATGTTGGAGTGTGTTATTGCGGATTGAACCCAGGAACTTTGCACTGGGCTACATCCTCAGCATTTTCATCTTTTATTTATTTATTTATTCATTCATTCATTTTGGTATTTTAGGGAAGAGTCTACAGAGTGCTCAGGGTCTCACTACTAGATTGGATTCATAGTGATCTGCCTGTTTACAGCCTCCCAAGAGCTGGGATTACAGCTTCTTACCACCATGCCCAGTCTCAATTGCCATCTCAGCAAGCCCGGAGGTGGGACCAGCACAGCAGGCCCTGGGATCACACCCCTGGCCCCTGCAACTGTTTGCAAGAGCTTTAGTCCACTGAGCTATTTGGTTGCCCCATCATCTTTTATTTTGGCATGTTTTCTCTCTAACATGTCAGGGTGAGCTCCAGTTTGCTATCCTCCTGCCTCAGCCTCCCAGACTACTAGGGTTACAGACAGGCACCCCTTACCCATCCTAGCTATGAATTTCTATGGATTACACATTTTGCTGGTATAGAAAGACAAGAAACTGAATGTTCAAATCTTCAGTATGAAAATTATTTGGTATTTTGAAAATCTGCTTCAGCAAATTCACTCAGTAAACTTCCCTAATTTCCCTTCGATATCATATTAATTTATATTCTTTCTACGTACACCTTACTAAAGCAAATATATCTCATCATTAAATGCGTTTTACTGTTCTATGGAATTCAAACACTTCATCAAAGGTAATCATGGAAATTAATAGCAATCAATAATCACCTGAGCGCAGAAGTACCTTTGTATTAGCTCACCTATCCGATGTTAGGAAAATGCCGTAAGCTGAGTGACTTTTAAAACCTCACACACCGCTGCTGTCACAGTCCTGGCTGATGCAAGTATGAGCCAAGGTGATGGCAGAACCGCACTTCTTCGGGCAGCTCTTCAGAGATCTTTCTTTCTTGCATCTTCTGTGGGCACCAGCTGTTCTTGGCTGTGATGCTTTCACCCTAATCCCTGTCTTAGTTTTCTCATAGTTTTGTTTTCTGTCTCTGTATCCTGAACTATTGTTATGAGACACTGACCATTGTGTTTGTAGTCCACTTTAAATTCAACCTGTCATCTTCATGAATTACACCTTCGAAGAGTATTTTTTAAATCAGTTTAGTTTCTGAAACTTTGATTTGGCGTGGGTTTGGGTGATACTAGACAAATCAATGCAATTTATGGATTGTAATTGATTGGATATAGCTGAAATCCCCCACTAAAGGTGCTTACGTGCAATGTTTTATTTATTTATTTTCTTTAGAAAATACAACTTTATTTAAGAAAGATCAAAAAGTAAAGGAGAAAGTTGGGCACAGTGGCAAGATCCTATAAGCCTAGCACTCAGCAGGTTGAGGAACTGGGAGAGGCAGTGAGACCCCGCCTGGGGCTACAAAAGGCAGAGGAGAAGAGCTGGGGTCATGCAAAACACTAAACCCACCATCAAGATGGAGAGAAATTAGCAAGAAAAGCTTCATGGGGAAAACCACAAAAACAAAGAGAAGAAGATAAATTACTGCCCCACGCACAACATGGCTCCTGTTTTGGCAACTGCCTCCTAAAAGTTGGAAGTATATTGAAAAAAATGATTTTGGGAGAATTGCTTCCTTTTCAATTGCCATATTAATATGCTGATTTGTAAAAGGCTTAAGTCAACAACTTCTGACATTGCCAGTCCTACGGATAACCCACTACTATTATAGACTACTGGATTATATTGTATTATTTTGCTGAATTCACACACCTAAAATATTTAAATAACAATGGAATACCTTTCTCTGTCAAAACTAAACAAAAAAGGGGATACTAATGAAGGATCATTTTGTATCTGTATGTACAAAATAGGCTAGATATACAGCTACTTTCTCTGAATTCAATGAGAAAAAAATTTGTACTAATAGTGTTTGGACAGGATATCATGTCTGCATCTTGTACTCTGAATAAACCCTACGAAGACAACAATGTGCAATGTTCTAATAACTCTAACTGTCTTATTAATCGGTTTTGAAACTGTCTCATTGCTATTTGTTTCTCAGTAAAGTTAATAAAAATTAAAACTAAAATTAAATAAAGAAAAAAAGGAAAGAAAAAAGCCTTCTCTTGCAACCTCACTAAAACAGCAGCCACTGAAATTGCTCCTGCCCTCTTCCTCCCTCCAAGGAGAAAGCGAGAAGGATCACCAACAGCAAGCAGCATTTGCAGCACAGCACCACCAAGGGCTGGCTTCACGCTCAGATAGGAGCACTAGGCCTCCTCCTCAGGGTCTACTGTACTCACACGGGCAGGGAAACTTGTCTTCTAACGTACTCTAAACATGATCCCTGAAAGTACACACAGTCTTTTATTAAGCTGGTCAACATTTTGCTATAAGATAGAGAACTTGTCTTCCAAAATACCTTCATAGGGCTGGGAAGATAGCATGGGGTCATAAGTACCTCCCTGGGCAAGGTCGGAAGTTCAATCTCAGGAACCGCATTCAAAACCAGCTGCAGAATCTGCATGCACCTAGTCAGCCGCAGATTTCAGGCATGGTGGTCACGCTTGCAGTCCCATCTCTGGTGAGACTGAGAAGTGGATCACTATGCATCCAAGATGCAAAGCGAAACCCTGTACCTAATTAAAAAAAAATGAATGCCTTTATTATTGACTTTTCATTTTAACATGTGATGGGTAAGTTAGAGATAGTATCCTAAATTCATGGATAAACTTACAGTCTAATCTCCTAGTGAAAAAAGTCCAAAAAAATAGCACAAAATTGTTTAGTTATTGCCCTTCCAGCCCTGCCTACAGGGCACGCTGAGATGGTGATTGAGACTGGGCATGGTGGCACACGCCTGTAATCCCAGCTCTTGGGAAGCTGAAAACAAGAGAATCATTGAGTTCAATCTATGTAGTGAGACCCTGTAGACTCTGTCCTAAATACAGAAAAAAAATTAGTTGTAAATGTGACAGAGAATGTAATTGGGAAGTAATATAAAGATGTATGTGTTAAATTTGTGTATGTGCTGGACTTGACTCCGTCTTGGGAAATGTATTCTTTGAGGAAGAATGCATTTAATTTGTGATTAAAGGACGAGTAGGAATTAAATAATTAAAATGGGCTTATCTAAACCTCCATTATATTTTCCAAATAATTGCCAGTATAAAATCAGTAATTACAATTAGCTGAGAAGCACATTAATTGTGCTTCTTTCTTCTAATAAGCTCTGACAGTATAATCTAGTATTCCCCAAAGAGAGACAGTTTTGCCATCCTGAAAGAGGCCTCCCAGTCTCACTTTTTCCACTGTATTTGCATTTAGGCAGAGCTGAGCAAAAACAGTAACAAAACTCCAGTTTTAGAAAAGGCCTAATTTAGTCCACTGTTTCTGGACCTTAAAATCTTCTGAAAGCTCTTGTTGCGTAAAAGTAGAATTGCAAGTACAATTCATGCAGTTCAATATTAAGTTCTTGTCCTTGGCAGATTTCCAAAAAATCTCACCTATAGGGAAAACACTGTAAATGCAAAGTTTTTTTTTTAATTTTAATTTATTTTATTGAGTAACAAATAGCAATGAGACAGTTGCAAAACTGATTAATAGGACAATTTCAGTAATTAATACATTGTACATTGTTATCTTAGTGGTTATCCACAGTACAAGATGCAGCCAGGATATCCTGTCTAAACACTATTAGTACGAATCTTTCTTCTCATTGAATTAAGTGGAAGTAGCTATTTATCTATCCTAACTATTCTGTATATACAAATAAAAAATGGTCCTTCCTTTGTATCCCCCCTCTTTTTTTAGTCCTGTCAGAGGTAGGTATTCCATTAGCATCTAAATACTATAAGTGTGTAAATTTAGCAAAACAATCCAACACAGTCCAGCAGTCCACAATAGCAGTGGGTTATCTACAGAAGTTGTTGACTTGAGCCTTTCACAACTCAACATATTAATATGTTCTAACATTATTTCTATTATCTAGTCTGAATAAATGGAAGAATTCTGGCTCAACCCCACAAAAACTTGCATTTTGTGTGAAATT